ACCAAAGAGATAAATATAACTTCTTGAGAAATGAAATTTCTTTAATGAGAAAAAATAAAAAGCAACATTACAATCACCTAACAGTACCTAAGGTAGATGTCATAATTTTCGACGGCGGAGGGGTCAGAGGAGGTGACAATATGATCACCTCCTGCTGGGCTAGGATGCGAGCCCGAGCGCGCATCAAAATGTATGGGCGAAATTGCGCTTATCGCGGCACGTATCCTAGGCCCACTGATTCCTCTCCACCCTCCACGGTGATGGTCAGAGAGCTGGGGGCGTGGGGGTACCCCCGCCTGCATAGCACGGACTACCACCACCGTCGGAAAGGCAAGGCCCGCCATACATCTGGCCTTGTGCCTGTACTCATACAGGAGGGCCCGCCATACAGGTGGGAAATTGCCGGGACGGACTGTGATAGTTGATGGCATTATCCGGATTCCCATAGTTCTTCACACTAAAGCGATCTCAGAGGTTATTTATGAGGGTATTCCTCATCCTTCCGATGAGAGGAGCCCCACATAATCTACCACTTCCCCGCAAGATAGGTAAGCAATTCCATGCTTTTTTTCCCCGAAAAAAAAAATTGACATAATTTTTATTTGATGATTATCTGGTAATTTTAACTAATCTTAACTTTGTATGAATTTAGACTGAATGCCAAAATTTTAAATCAGGTGAAACCACTTTTTACTGATTTTTTGCAGTCAAAAGTGATTTAGATAACGCCCTTGGTCCACCTCATAACAGTCTTGGTGATTATGAGTTTTATTTCATTCTGATATTTAATTTTGTAATGCGCCGATTATAATCGGCATATTTTGCCGAATAGTCGTCACTAGTCGGCCGACTACAAATGATGCCGAATAGTCGGCTTTCCCGACTAGTCGGCGACTAGTCGGCCCATCTCTAAATTAATTATTAAATTATACTATTATTTAAGCGGCTTCAGTCTCACAATAAATACTATACGGGGTCCGATACCGATCTGCTCTCATTAACTTAAACCTAAATAGGTATGTAGACATGATTCATTTTACATTCTTTTGTTAGGTAGATAGGTAATCATCCCATTTTCATGGTCTGGTGGAAAATACCAGCTTTTCAAGTAATGACTGTTGACTCCTTCGGCGTCGAGCCCGACAGGCCGCGGCCCACGCGCCGCCGCCCGCGACCCACGCGCCGCCGCCCGCGACCCACGCGCCGGCGGCCTAGCGCCGCCCAGCGCCGCCTAGCGCGAGCGCGGGAAGACCCGCAGACACATAATTACCAACGAGTTTCTTTGAAAAAATACCTCAGTACTTTTCCAATCTGATTAATAAAAGGTTTCATCTCTACAAATTAAAGTACAGTCGCATGACGATGAATAATTAAATTTCATTAGCTTATGATTTGATTACTTATTGGAAAGAAACCATATCAACGTAATAAAAATGTGATCTCCTTGCCGACTGATCGGCTTATTATAATTAAAGTAACTAAGTACAAATAGATATCCTTTTAACATCGAAATTGAAAAAATATAAATGTTACCAAGAAATGATTCAAAAGATTGATAAATTCGTATTTAATATCAAAGCGTTTTCCTATCAAAAGAAATGTACCTTAACAAAGCGAAGTTATGTAAATAATTTGCGCACATAACATTCCGATCGGAGCACCGCCGCCGCGCGCCGCAGCGCAGCCAGAGCAGCCCGGTCGCCGCGGCCGAGCCCCCCACCAGCTCGCTCCCGTCCTATCTGCCCCCTAGCTGGTGACATGCTGGGTGTAGCCATAGCATGCATGCTTATAAGTTTCTGAGCACGCCAGGCACGGCACGTAAAGTTGTGAACGTGCTGATCTGTTGGCGCTGCGCGGGTTGCGGGAAGCGAGCCGCGTCGGCGAGGACAGCTCTCCGTTAGCGCGCCGCATAATCCGGCAACATTCCGCCGCCGCCTCGCCCGGAGGGGCTGCTGTGGCCTCCTCAGACGTCCTCCTCATTCATATCACTAAAGTACCCGGTTGGTAGCGGCCCCCGTCCAGCACCTTCCTGCTACCTTTATGATGTCGTCGGTCAACCTTGTGGAGGGCAAAAAACTTATGCCACTCCAATATCATTACACTTGGGCTCCCTTGGATCTGTTTGAGCCCTTGTCGATTTCAGACGGATATTACGCGTTCTGGAATTTTGCCCATTTCCATGAATCGATTCCGAAAGGTTTGATCACTAACGAACGCACTAGTGGTTTGTCTTAGACGGCTTTGTATGGTCCGGGCGTTTATGAAACATGCAGCTGAACCTACTGCGACCTAAAGGACAGTTTATTCGACCAGCTATCCTATTATACTCACACTTTTAAACATCGAACATCAGTAATAATTTAAACGCCAAAACTCATTATTTTTATATTATTATAGTAATATTACAATAAATTCGACATAAGTAGGATCATCTAGGGCAGGGTTTCCCAAACTATCGCGAACGAACTTTAAGTGGGCCCTGCCTGTAAAACGATACACCACGCTACAGATTCGAGTCCATTATTTAGGTATATTGGTAACAGTTAAATTTCCTATATGTGGGTCCCGAGTTTGGAAACTTGTATTAGATGTGTCATAGCCCAGACAACTTTGGGAACCACTGATCTAGGGTCTATGGTAGTGTATACTCGTAATTGAAATTCAGACAGGCGGGGAGGTAGCGCGGCCGCGGGCGAGTGATGACGCCACTCTTCGCGCGAAGTGCTCCTCACACATTCACCGATACACGTTGGACAATGGAATTAACGCGGGGCGCGCTTCACAAGCAGCCCACGTAGGCCGCGCGCCTCGTCATGGTGCTGGCGTTGAAGAATGCAGCATCTGCGGCGCGCCTTCGGAGCAGCGGCGCGGTCGCAACTTTCAGAGATTGAGGGTGTTGTTAAGCACTAAAGCGCAGCGTTAGGAAAGTGTTCTGCTTATCTGCAGATATAAATGGAGTTTCCACATAATAACGGAGTAACTGGCACACTAGTTACAGACATCCGCTGCCGCCTGCCTTCGCTGAAGTTCGTTGATACGACTGGGCGTTTCCTACACTCATTACCGACGCATTTGTTTCGTGGACTCGATATGCTTCATTGCGTAATTCCCCATCGTTTACATAAATTGACTTTGAGTAGGTACAGCGTGGAGAGTACCTCCGGAACATTAAACTAGAACAAAGTAACAACCAGAAATAAAATGTGTAAATTGATTTTAAATGGATTACTTGCCGGAAACCTGTGGAGCTGCTAATTACAATTAGTACATTAGGTGGGAACATGTGGGAGCTTAGCGCGCCCCTGCGAACTAATAGCTAAAGCTTACGACGAGTGACGGCCCAATCATACCGGAATGATGGTTCTGACCGAAAACACTCATTTGGGAATCGATATTCCGTAATCGTATTGGAAATGTTTGCGGAGCGAGCGGGCGATGCCTCCGTGAGTCACCGCGGGCGGTGAGGCGCGGGCGCCGCTGCGGCATCGAATCGAAGTTAATATGCATCGGCAAAGATAGAGATTCCTGATAAACGACTATTCCTTCCATATGTTTTTAACACATTTTACTTTCATGGCATATTTGTAATCAGTTAGCGTTCGGACATTGTTTTGCGCGAGGGTCATTGATGCTCAAAGTTTAGATATATCGATGTTCTAAAGTGACTCATCACACCGAAGCTACACCTCGCTAGTGAGCTGAAGGCCCGGGCGGGCGTGCTGGAGTGCAGATAAAATCGGCGTGGAAATTGGCGATCGGCGCCGTCTCGTGTTATTTTATTAACACTCGCCATCGACCCCTAGTAAAAGAAGTTTACTTGATACATTTCTAGTTAACATGATCGCTTCTATAATTCAGTTGGCCCGCCTTCGGCGAACACCACGGACTGTAATTATGCGACATCCTTACACCGTTAGGTGTGTGCTTTTGAGTTCGAAAAGTCATTAAGCCGGTCGTTTGTTACCGCCCGGGGCCGTACGCGCGGTACACATTCGTCGTGAAATCTACTGAGCCTGTAAAAAAGCACAACGTTAACGATCCCCTCGTACAATGAAAGTAATTAAAATAATAGTCCCGGGCCGCATCACGCGAGCGCGAGCGTTCACGTATCGCGCGCGTCGCCGCTTCCGTGAGCCGCTCCGGTGCGAACCGAATTTACGAAAGGCGAATCCAATATTGTACGCGTTTAAAAGCAGGTTCGAACGTTTTATGTATAAAAGAATATTGCCTTTCGTGGATGGATATGAATGAGTAGCGGGTCGCCATTGCGCTGTTTATTATTCATTAGACGACTACATGTCACGCAAGAGCATAAGCACGCACAAGCTCAGCGCTTCTGAAACTTTTCCCTCCGCTATTGTGCCCCTTCCGTCGCCGGAGCGCGGCGGGCACCGCGGGCACGGCTCCGGAGCGCCGGCCGCGGCCATGTTGCGAACCGCTGGCGACGCCGCGCCCGCCCGGATCGTTTATTCCTCTTTATTAATATTCAAATCTGGCGTTATGACGTTTGCGATTTGTTCTCGAGCGTTGAGCGGCAACAGCCTCTGTTAAATACGAGACACGCAACGAGCGAATTGTATTTGCATTTGACCTATAAGCGTGTCTATTGTTCGCCACCGTCGCCCTGCGCGAGGGGACTCGCTGTCAGTTTGTCGTTCACTAACTTTGCCTACGACTATATCCATTGTTCCGTATTGTTCGACGAATGTAAGAAATAAATCGCTTAGATTGGCATGCAAGTAAGTACTCGTATGAAGTAATATTAAAAACCGTGTCTGAGCCGCAAAGGTATCAACTTAATTGTGCGAGTGGCGAAGGAGCGGAGGAGGTCCCCGCGCGGCCGCGGAATATAAACAATGCTGTTATCGTCGCGGCCGATCTGCGCCGCGCCGCCGCCGCACCACAAGCTTCTGTAGGGCTTCTAATTTCAACCTGGAATTTTCCTCATTACATTTTAATTTGCTCACCAAGTCTCTGCAATTATATGTATTGGGATGGCCGACTCAGAATTAAGAAAAATATTCAAATACATTAAATACCTTATGCATAACTATAGTCTGTTCATTACGTAACATTAGGCTGTTTTTAATATCGTACGGATTACATCACGGATGCGGAAGGACGCTTGCGGGTGTCAAAAATACCCTAAGTTTGTGGTAAAGTAACCTTAGTCTACCTACATTGTATGAAATGATTTTGTATTATGAAGGTACACAGCTAACTAACATAGCTAATATGCCCGAGAGCTTATCCTGATGACAGAGCTGCTTCGAATGTGCAATGATATAATTGCACAGAATACCAGACGAAAATAAAGATTTGGATAAGTTTTTCATGACTCAGTCCGCAAGTACTATCATGGTAACTTACGTCGTAATTCTTTTGGCTGAGTGCACCACCTGACTGTGACCGTAACTACAGGTGGGCAAGAAAGAAATGCACTTTTGAAAATACAAGCAAATGAAAACTTACAATTTTGTGGAACTTTAACTATTCCAATTTGAAAAAAATTTAATGAAAATTGTTTTTAAATTTACTTTTTTTTTATTTCATCATGTGATTCCCTTGACGTTTATAACATTCGATCAACATGCATCAACATTTTGGAAAAACTTTCGTTAGTTACCTCTAAATACTCGTAGATACAGGATGGATGAATGCTGCAGAGTTTTTGAATTATTAGATACTCTGCTCTTAAGGTAACCTAACAAAAAGAAGTTTGCTGGAATGAGATTAGGGCTTCTTGGTGGCAATGAGATTTCACCCCTGCTTAATAGATTTTTTGGATTGAAAGGACGATTCATTTTTGAGAGCACTTTACTTGCATGATGAAAAGCTTTTTGATTTCAAAGTTGCAAGATTTGTAATGCTATGACAGGAGCACTTGGTTTCATCAAAATAGGGCTAAGTGTCACACTTCAAATAAAGCATTTAGGTGATAAGAGACATGTTCCCACAAAAAAATCATTTCACATCTCCTGGCCACCACCAGGCCCTGATCTCACTCCAGAAAACTCCTTTTTGTGGTGTTACCTTAAGAAAAGAGAATATCTCACTTATATATCAACAACCATGCAGCAACTGAAGCTGAACATTCGGCAAAAAATGGAAAATAGGTTTCGAGGTAACACAGAGTCATCAAAATATTTTAATACATACCTTTGCTGTCGCCAATTGCGCTGTACAGAACAAATAAGTTTACGCTTTTAAGGCATATTGCGAGCATTTACACGGGAACCCCTGTGGTTAGTCTCAACAAAGCCCTACAATAACATTATATAAGGTACATTACATACATACGTCCAGGATATATAGGAACTACCACCTTTTTCTAGTACATCGGGAATCTTTGCGGAAACCAAACTGGGCTTTAATGCTACCATCCGAAAACTGCATCTTTTATTAGCAGAGTGCGAGGCGGTCACAACAGCAACGACATGCTCAACACCTTAGCGGAGACGTTTTCACCGCTACTGTGGAAACGTTTCGTGCAGAGCGAGAGTGATCACGGGACCTTACTGCCCCCCAGCTGATCTCTCCCTGCATTCGTTGATATTTTCATTGGCTAATTCTAAATTATTTGAATTTAGGGATGTGATTATAGATAATGATGATTAAAGATATATATTGCAACAGTGTTGTCATATTATGTGTCAGCACACGCGGAAGAAGGCTGCGGACACCAGCCGCCACCAGGCTGTTGTTCATGTGACGCGGACAGAGAGCAGAAATAACAGGAGTGGAACTGACAGGCAATCCCCTCTAGCAATGTAAGTAGACCAGTGGTTCACTCAGTTTATAAAAACTAGTTGCAGCGCCACCAATGACATATTCCAAATGTCACTATTGAAGAGTAACGTGCTGCGATAAAAATGGTGAATTGCAGTGTTTTTAATTGTNCTTCTTCACTCCCTCTATGATAGCTAATGCTTCTAGCTCATAGCTTGTATATCTTGATTCGGCTTCTGAGGTTCTCTTACTCATGTAGTATACAGGATGCCAACCATCTTCATGTTGCTGCATTAATATCGCAGAATAGGCAACAGCTGATGCATCTGTATGCAATTCAGTAGGTAGGTTTGAGTCATAAATCTTTAGTACTGGAGAATCACTTAACTTTCGCTTCAAAGTCTCAAATGCTATTATCTCTTTATCACCAAATTGAAACAAAATGTCCTTCTTTAATAAATCTGTTAGTGGTTTAGCTATCTGTGCATAATCTTTTATATATTTTCGGAAATATGAGGTTAGACCAAGAAAACTGCGAACTTGCCTTGTTGTTGCTGGCTTTGGATATCTCATCACTGCATCTATCTTCTCAGTGGTCGGTCTCACCTCTCCGTCTTTAACCAAGTGTCCCAAATATTCTATTTCTCTGCAAACCAATTTTGCCTTTTTCCAATTCATTTCTAACCCATATCGCTCTGAAATCATAAGCACATTTTTAAGNTTATCGTTATAAATCTCATGAAATACTTCGGACAAATGCTCAAACCGAAAGGAGCCCTTAAAAACTCATATTGTCCATTGTGTGTAACAAAAGATGTATACTTTATCGACTCTTCACTTACTCTCAGGTGAAAGAACCCGTTTTTTAAATCTAACACGCTGAACACTTTGGCACCTTTTAATNCAGACTCTTCACTTACTCTCAGGTGAAAGAACCCGTTTTTTAAACCTAACACGCTGTACATTTTGGCATCTTTTAATTTATCTATTAAATCTTCAATTACTGGTAATGGAAACTCGTCTTTCATAATCTTTCTGTTCAACATCCTATAGTCAACGCAAACTCTAATGGAATTATCTTTTTTCTTGACCAAAACCAATGGACTACTATATTCAGAGTGACTTACGCGTATTATGTCCTTTTCTAACCATTCTGCAATCTGTTCCTCCACAATCTCCTGCTCCTTAAGTGCCAGTCGTCGCGGTCGTAGTGCTACAGGTACCTCATCCTTAAGCACAATCTTGAGCTGCAGTGGTGCTTCCTCCGTCTGTTCCGGTTTGTACTTCTGTATACACTCGATGACTTCCTCTCTCAAAGCTGGATCTTTCATGGGACCTACAACAGAATTAGATGAACATACCTCACTCACATAACATCCCAGTCGTTCCCATTCTTTAGTATAAAACTTTACACAACCCTTTTTAATCACAACTGTTACGTCATTCAAAAACTCTTGTCCTAGTATTACGTCGTAAGGTACATACTCTTTGTTTATTACATGAAATATTACGTCTAAATAATATTGTTCGTCTACGCACAGGTTTAGGAGACACTTTCCCAACGAACGCACTGTTCCTTGTCCAATTCCAGATAGCACCAAATCATCTTTCTCACATTTGGGCTTTCCCAACTCGATGTAAACGTCCTCCGATATGATATTCACGTCGCTGCCGGAGTCAACTAACGCTTTTTGCTGTATTTCATTCATTGTCAACACAATAACCGGCTTTTTCTCCTCCGTTTTGTTGATCTGAGAGGTTGACAATGTTGACATCTCGTCGTAAACAAATGTCGCCATCTTTGGTTCGTCGTCGTTCGTACTGGAGCCGCTAGGGGCGCTGCCTTCTATGGAGTTTGACGTAGTGAACATCGTCCGCTTCTTGTCATGATGTTGGTAGTCTTGTAGCTCGTTCCATAGCTCACCGCTGGAGGCGCCGCAGTCTCGAGTGATGTCAGCCGCGAACATAGCGCTCTTCTTTTGTCTGTGGTCGTCTTGCCGAGATTTACCGAACTCCTCCGAAGTCTTCCGATTCGCCGTCGCAGTCGAAGTGCAAGCCGATCCAACATGGCCGAATTGGTTGCACTTAAAGCACTTCATACCTTTGCTTTTATGCGGGCAATCAGTTGATGCATGTCCAGTCTCTCCACAGCTATAGCACCGAATCTTCCACGACCCTCGTCGATCACTCTGCTGCTTGCTTGTACTCACTGCACGCCTCTGCTGCACAGCACTCTGCATTTTTCTTGATATCGTTTCATAGATTTTAAGCTTCTCCTTTAAGTCGTTATAGGTTGTAACACCGTAAAGCATGATCTTGTTTGTTTCTACGTCCACGATTCCGTCAACGATGTATTTAATCGCAACGTAGTCCGGCATCTTGCCACGCTTGCCCAACTCCTTCATGATCAGCATATAGTCGAGGCATGTTTCATCCACCCGCTTCTTTCTAGCACTCATTTGTTCGTGAATGGCTTTGATGTCAACGGTGTCTGGGAATTCTTTACATATCGCTGCTTTCAAGTCGTCCCAACTCTTAAACGGACGTTCGGATCTGAGCCACAGCTGCGCAGTGTCCGTCAGTGACCTTCGTGCCACCAGCAGCTGCTGCAACGGAGACCAACCGAATATTTCCGCGTTGCTCTCGACGTCTTCAATCCAGCGTGACACGGGATAGGTATTATCTCTCCCGCTGTATCTAGGCACCAACTCCGCCGTCAATTGCAACATGTGCGTCGGGTTATGCGTGATATTGTCGTCATCACAATCTTCATAGTCGTCTTGTCGGCTTTTACGTCTTTCTTTCGGCATGTTTCCGTCGTATGATCCCGTCTGAATCTTGAAACACGCCGGCCGGTACAATGGCGTCGTCGTACGCGTGTGCTCGTACGTCTTATTGAGATTTTCTCACGAAGTACACCGTCCACCGCGAAGATAATTATCCCGGACGAGCCCCCAAAATTTGTAGGGACGGGGCTTCGCAAGGAAAATCAGTTTCTTCCAACAATATGTATAATCTTCTTTTATAAAATACAGAGCCACACTTACTCATAACCGTCTTACCGCCATGACCCCTTTCCTTCCTTCTCACTCACTCACCGTACATTCGTCTCGCTCACACTCGATCGTTCATCCAAAGAGTTTAAGACAATAGAGTATTTACCCATAGATGTTACAATCCTACATGTATAAGAGAATTGATCTCAAGTAAGTTAGTGACAGATGAACTAGTATTCGTTACTATAGCGGTTTATTTAATTGTGATTGTGACCCTCACGCCCTTGCTCAAGGCAGTCTAGGAACTTTGCCAAAGTCAATTATTCTGAGCTGATCAATTGATACAACTATGCAAGGCATTAGTTATTAAATTTCTCGATAACTTGAGACTATCGATTGTGTCCCAGCTTTTCGTCAATGAGCAAAATTCTGGAAGTTTCCAAAACTTCAGATTGACCTCCTGAGTCCTTAGTTTTGGGATCAAAAAGTTTTAATTTTATTTTTGGCAGGAAACACATGTTTGACGTTTACATTGGTGTATCAGGGATATGTGGGAATTGTTAAAAATAACTAATGATGCGTGGGAAGCGCATTGACATTGAACTTGCAGTTGCATGTGTTTTGGAAGGGCATGTGTGATACGTAGAGGTCGATAAGGATATTAGTTTAAGTTTTTTTTAAAACTTATTGTAATGTGACATAAACCATTTGAATTTTGGTCATATTTGTTATACTAAACATAACAAAGGTAAAGGGTAGTGATTCCTTAGGACAGGACTTAAATAGTGTCACTCTCAGTTTCTGGACAAGACATTGACAGTTTCTAGGCTAGAGCTGAGATAGTTTAGTTCACGGGACTTAAATTAGTCATAACCACTTTTTTAGGTTGGGACTCGTTGACATCAATCGATATAAATACTTCAGGCTACAATAAGTGCCAATTTTTCTAAAAAAACAATTGAAGCTAATGTTGGTCTATTATTTTAAACTGGGACGAATGAAACGCTTTACTGGATATGAAAAAAACAAAGCTGTTTACAAAAAAAAAAGAAATACATTTGAGATCTAAGTTAAAATTCTATTAGGTACCTACTCAATAAATTAAACAGCTACGATATTTGTGATTGCAAAACTAGAAAATTATTAAATTCGTTAAGTTGTTGGACGTCCTGTCTTACTGAAATCTCTCACCAACTGAAAAAACAACTATATTATATTCTTCCCTTAATTTCAAATAACGTAAACTGAGTTTTTTTTAATTATAAAGTTTTCAAATGTAAAATGAAACCTATTTAATCCTTCCTACTTAAGCTCTTTAGAGAGGACTGAATGAGTAAGTTTAATTACGAAAGTTAAATGACTGTACCTTTAGGAATTACTGGAATAACTTGAATTTATCAAAATTAACCGTGGACCGAAGTTACCTGGGATTTAGTATTAGAACCGTAATCAAGTTCCAACAAAATTTCATAATCGAATTCTTAAATCATTTTGGAGTTTCATTCACAGGATCAAATCAGTTTGAAGAACACAGAAGTGTTAATTAAAATAAAACAGTTAAGTCAAGATAATTTCTGTAATCTTATTACTCAGTTATAAATGAAGTCACTTAACCATTTAGAGTCGTTTAAGTGAACAGATAGCGGAACAATGGGAATTAAAAAGATTCACATCCACATGCCAGATGGATGGTTATAGATATTACCATTAACTTGATTTATAATGACAGAAGAGACAGATAGCTCATTTCACGGTCAAGAATACGATTTTGTTTTTAACACCATGAGAATATACAAAATTACAAACAAAGTATGTTGAACCCGGAATATTTTAAAAACATTGACGTTTCATAATTTCATAGAATTAAAAATACAATAGGCTCGGGATTTGGGTATTTCGTTGATCAACCGAAAAATAAACTGCCAAAAGTACCTACATAAAATGCCAAATGGTAAACGCCTTTCGACATTGGCGAAACCAATGTGTTTCAAATACGCATCAACGTTGCTACTTATTAAAAAGCGTCACTAAATGCATAGCGACAATATACAATTTCTCTGTTCCTGTTTGTCTGAGGCATGAGTCTTAATTTTTACAATTAAAAACACATACGAGCAAGTGAAGATAAAGTCAAACGCAGCTTCAGTATAACCCTATATTTTTGCTATGCAATAATATGTCTTATTTGACTTTGCATTGCGACCGTTTGTCCATACCGACATTGTCCAAATGTCCATTGAAGAAAGGATTGCCTGCGCCTGCGATATCAACCCATTTTATGCGGCATATGCTCAGCGGGCAGCTGCGTTAAACATTCACTCTGCACACAATTGCTGTGCACATGTGCATCTGAATCATAGAGTCTGGGGGTGTATTCTGCTTAACTTCATAGAAATGTCTGCGACCGTCTCTTTCTACCCTGGTATAGGAAGTAATAGAATAGAACTTAGATTGTGTGGTAGGGTGTGTGGAATGGAGAGGAGAGTCCTGCCGGATAGGAGACATGTCAATACTACCACACGCGAAGCATGCAGTTGCAGCGAGAATCAGAAGGCTGTTAATGTGTGAGGCATAAAGTATTTATTTGCATGGCTCTGAAGACTGACGATAGTACAATACATTAATATCTGTTGTTTGGAATTTTAGTGCGGTTTATCTATCATTGCCAGACCATAATAACATAATAAAATATCTTCTCAAAGAACAAACATTGGAATCTGCATACGTAAATCAAACCTAAAATGTCTGGGTACGGAACCATCGGTGGAACCAACTTTACATTTCTATGGGTTGAAACATCGAAGAATCCATTTAAACTGACATTGTGAAATGAAAACAGAATTCCAAAACTTTACAATTTAACTTTGAACAAGAATGGAATCGCTTCCATTTTTCTACAACTTCGCAAAGTCACACAACACATTAAAAACTTCTTACTCCAGAATCATGCTACTGATCCCTTTATGAATAAATAAAGACTTAAACAAGAAACGCAGATAGCTCATAGCAAAACCGTCTCGGAAAATGGGAAAGTTTTAAAGAATGCGATGCGATCAGTTCCCCCTCAAAATAGCATTATGTAAATGACGTATTGACAGCAAAAAGTTTCAGAACGATTTGTCTTTCACACAGCACAGAAAATATGAAGCCCAGAAGGTTCATTACGATTGTGAAAAAACACTGGCTTTTCGATTTGCCCGTCAATAAAAAAGTTGATAAAAACACAATAGCGTTGTTGTTAGCACAGACAAATTGAAAGACAACAAACATTTTATCAGTCCCGAACATCTGATAATCAGTGTTACAAGATTCGACAATGGAACTTCTGTACCTCTAGTAGGAAAAACTTTCGAGTTCGTTTCGTTGCGTATTCAAAGTGTCATCGAAAAATTTTGTATGAAAAATTAAACAGCGCCCCCTATATTATAGCCGCCCTAGGGGGCGCTGTTTAATTTTTCATACAAAATTTTTCGATGACACTTTGAATACGCAACGAAACGAACTCGAAAGTTTTTCGTACTAGAGGTACTGATGGGGCCCTTCATCGCGAAATTACTCCGGCCCCAAAAACAAACAAACACTGATTGAGTGGTGAAAACCGGTTATTGTAGATTAAAAGTAGGGGAGATTTAATTTGGAAAAGCATTACCTCGGCCATAACGTTTAGCGGGGGGAGAACAGAATGGTCAGTTAATTGATCTATAAATCACGTCACACCATTATTGGGTTCCGCTCGCGGCCAACAGATGGGGTCATCTCGCACTTTTGTTTATTCTCTCAAAAGCGTTAAATTGTTGATAACCGGTTCACTTCACAGACGAATATAATATCGCTGTCACCGTATATTACGCTCTATTCAATCCTTGAGTATTAATTATCTGGTCTCGTGCTGCTAAATGGACGATTATAATGAACATTATTCAAGAATATTGCCACTCGACAATACAGAAAGTAAAAATAAAAACACATTAATTTAGATAAAAAGTAAACCGAGTTCGTAAAACACGTTTGTAGGAACAAAAGCTTCGTACAATTTTATTGAAATGTTATGAAACATAATAAAAATAATGTTTTCTTTTTGTCTTCTTACGCTTTTAATAAATATTTATTATTGTAGTTGAAATTAACGAAAAAAATACGAATGCTTTAAATGAAAACTGTTTCAAAAATAAAACACGTCTATTCTCTTTAAAAACCAAAATAATGCATGTTCATTTAAGCTACCCCTAATGAATATGGATGAGGCGTAATGAAATGAACATGATGGGAAATGTGACCTTCAAGGAAAATACGCATTTTGTTAGGTAGGTATTCAAGAAACTTACTTTTTATGTAGGGTAGCTAGTTGTAACTCTATAAGTATTGATTTTATTTGATTTCCATCTTAATCAAATAGGTACCTAGACCTACCTACAAAACTAAAGGATAGACCATCTACTCAGAGTTCAGAGATTTCATGGGCAAAACTTCGCCTTGTTCATATTGTTCATTAGGAAGGAAGTCATTGTAGCTTTTATTGTAAGAGCTGGAAAAGAGTTGGGTGGATTATTGGCTCCTTAGTAAGTAAAACGAGCTATTCAGATTGGTCCCTGTTCAGTTGACAAATACTCGTAAAATCTTTTTGACCCTATTATTTCGAAAATTGTAAATACAGGAAAAAAGCTTTTTGCAAAGAATACGGAAACATTATTTTGCTAAAAATACGTTGTTTTATTCTCGGATCCAGTGAAGTAAAGAGCCTGTTACATATTCTTTGATGATGATGAGGTAAATTATACCAACATTAACTTATAAAGAGTAGAGAGAATAATGCAAAACGTCGCCTCGTCTAGTCAGGCAGGAGAATTTATGCAACGTTTAAAATAGCTATTTTCCTTTGGTAGAGTAAAAAAATAACTTTTATCCTGCCCCGCAGTAACGAGGTCTATTGTCAAGGTACTTCATTAGGTCCTTGGGGGCTTTAAGACTTCAGAATAAGACCAATGTGCGGATTGATTGATGAACTTTATTGGCACCTCTATGTATACTTATAGTTATCTACAGTTGAATCGTATGTATGCTGTAAAAGGTTAAGTCGGATTGGGTTTTTTTATTGTTTGGTATGTGTGTACTTTCTTATTGTTTTAATAGTACAAATAAATACATAATAAGTACTAAAAAAAGTTTTAATAAAGTTATTAGT